TCTCACCCCAGCTCTGCTTTTTCCCTCATATGTGTCACTGTAGTGATTCTGCTCCATTTGGGCTCCTTTTTTTTTTTAACCCTGTTTTCACAATAGACCCCCTTTCATTTTTTTAAATTGGAAATAAGCTCAGGCCTCATAGCAGCTGCATCTCCTACTATGTCTGAATTCTTTTATTTGAATATTTCGTTTTCATAAGATTTTGTTATTTCTGTGTTTTGATCATGTATTGGTCAGGACTTGCTCAGTTTCAAGTGTCAGAAAAAAAACTCCATGGAGTTTAAGTAATAAACAATAAATTGGAGGTATCATCTCATTTAACTGATTAGCCTTCAGGCACAGCTGGATCTAGGAGTTCAAACTTTATTGTTAAAGCTCTAGCTATCTAGTTACCTATCTATCTTGCTGTATCTCTAGCTCTACTGCCTTCTGCCTTGCTGTATCTCTAGCTCTACTGCCTTTCTTTCAGAAAGATGTGTCTACTGGTAATCACCAATATTATAGTCCAATATTGTGCAATATATTACACTGGTAGTCCATGGCCTACTGTCTGAAGGCTTGTGATTCAAGAGTAAAATATACTCTTTCTCAGCATCTATATTTCAAACCTCAGGGAAGGTACTAATTGGCCCTGATTAGAGTGCACATGCCTGCCATGTACCAATCACTATGCTGGGGGGATTTGGGCACTCTAGCTGGCTAGCCTGGGCCACATACCCCTGTGTGTGCAGTGTGACCAGAGTGCATGGCATGCCCATCAGAAGACAAAGGGAGAACAGGTGGTTCCTCTGAGAGGGGGATGCTTGGTGAAGCAATAATATAATTTTACTATCTCTGCATGCCCTTGTTTCTGGGTTCTATGCATTATCCCTCCATCAAAATCATGATCTTTGTGGCTCCCAGACACTACTGAAGAGACAAATGAGTAGACAAATTACATGAGCATTGAAGTCTTAAGCTTTTCAAATCTCAGAAAAGGAAAGCTTTTTAGGCATACACAAGCTTCCATTTGGATTATCTGGCTTTCTGGAAAGCACCAGAAAAAAAGAGTTTGGTAATGACTTGACCGTGAGACCTCCACACCTACTTAATCTCCATGCCCCTTACCCCTGCACCTGCAGAGAGAGAAAATAATTATGGGTGATAAAAGCTGTCACCAACAATACAGTGGTGGTAGCTGATGTGGAACTTAGAATCATTTTCCCTGGAGTGAACAGTTGAGGACTGGATAGAATCAACCAGCTGAGTCTCTTCAGGTGCTTAACTTTTATGTGAGGGCTCCAGAGTTCAATAATTCATGCTAAAACAGCCAGCAGCAAGCAAATTGCATTCACATTCTATTCACATTTTGATTACAAAACAGAGCCCCAAATGAGTTTTATGATGGAAAAACATACTAGGTGACTTGAGCTGAATGGAAGACAATGGGAATGGTAGAAGCACGTGGGCTTTGAGGTCAAATGAGCAGAAATCAATCTTGAATCTGCCGTTCATTGGCTGCATGGCCTTGTCTGGTGATCATCTCAGAACTTGTTTCCTTATCAGTAAGTTAGGTTAATACCAGCTATTTCATACTATTTTCAGATCGTATAAATGAGATTATACAAGGAGAGTGCAGTAGAGCAATAATGTAAAAAAATTCTGTGGCCTGGCAGACCCCCAATAAATGTTCATTTCCTGCCCTCCTCTCTCGCCCTCCCTTTCTCCCTTCCTGCCCCCCCCCCTGCTTTGCACCAGGGAAGGCAATGTTTTCTATAAGTACGAATGTAGAACTGAGAATACCAGCGGAGGGGTTATTCAAAATGAAGAGAAAGAAAATGAAGAGGGTCTTCATGGTAAAAATGGAATTTATAATTCACTTCCACAATATTTACCTGTGTTGAGGGGAGGTGGAGAAAAAATGAAGAGGATCGGGCAATTAATAGTACTAGCTCAAGTTTTCAAAGTTTAGGCATCTTCAAAGGAAGTTAAGCATTTTGTGCAATTTTAAAGTTTAATATACTCTCTCAGGAATCATTAAAATAGGTAAGCCACTTAACACTGAAAATATCTTCCAGAAAGGAAAGGAAGAAAGCAGGTTAGCAATTTACAAAGCCTACATCAAAACTCCATTGCCCCCATTTGAGTTAGAATAAGATATAGCTTAGATCAGTAGCATCAAACTTGGATGGAGGGGGAGCTTGATAAACATGCAGCTGCTTGAATCCCACTCCAGGAAATTCTGATCAAATAGGTCAGAGATGGGGTCGAGGGATTTGTATTTTTAACTTCTCCCAGGATTCTGTTATAAGTAAACCACAGACTTCATTTTGAGAAACACTGGCTTAGTTGTTATGAGCTTGGGCTTGGGGATAGACCTGAGTTCAAATCCTAAATCCAGCACATTCTAGCACCGTAAATTTAGGCAACTACTAACTTCTCTCATCCCCAGTTTTCTAATCTGAAAATTGGAATTAGAAATAATATGCGTTTCAAAGGTTGTTTTGAGAATTAAATGAAATACGTTGCAGAGTGCTTAGCACAGTATCTAGCGTATAGGAACAAGCACTCAAAAAATATTAGCTATTGATATTATCATTATTAGGCAAAGCAGAGGGGCTTGGATTCTTTTATTCTTTGTCTTTTCATTCTTTCTTTCCTTTTCTCTTCTTTTCTTTTCATAAATCTGAAAGAAAAATGCATTAAGCAAGATGGAAGTGTATTTAGCTTTTAGACAAACTGGCAGTGAAGCAGTCCAGGATGGGCATGGCAGCTCTGCAGCCCAGGCTCCTTCCTTCCCTACTGAGGTGTGGCCCCATCCTCAGTGTTCAAGATGGCAGCAAAAGTTCTGGGAACCATGTCTGCTTTCCATATAGCAGGATGGAGGAAAGAAAAAAGAAAATCAGTCACTTTCTAAAGATTGCTTACACCTCATTGGCCAGAACTTGGCTGCCAGGCAGGCTGGAAAATGTGACCAGTATTCCAGATAGTCATGGACCCAGGAAAATGTGGTCTGTATTGCAATGGAAAATAGAGCAGAAGGAATATGGAAGGACAACTATTGTTCCCTGACGTACCCAACCCTAGGAGTCTAGCAGATTTGAGTCATTCCCCAGAAATCCTCTACTCTCATCCTGCTTCTATCTGCTTATTTCTCAGGTAAGGATCATCTTCCCGGAAAAAAGATAGTTGCATGGTTTGCTTATTGTATTCAGCTTGGCTTATTTTCTTCCTTAATTTTTCCCATATCTTTTACTCCTCACAGAGAGTAAGCAATATAATTGTTTTATTATAGAAAAGTTAGAAAACACAGGTAAGCACATAAGACAAAAACTTTTTTTAATATTAAAAATCTCACCACTTAGAAATAACCACTCCTAAAGTAAGGGTGTACAGCCATCTAGCATTTCCCCAGGTAAAAATATACATACATATTTATAGTGAAAACCTAGTCTCCATAACGATTTTTAACCTTTTCTATTACACTTAGTATGAGTAATATTCGATGTTATTAATTATAGATCAACACCATCAATTTAATGACTTCAGAGTTTTCCATTGTATGAGTGTATTTTAACTTATTCAATTTCCTGTTTATATTCACAACACTGTGTTAAACCCCCTAATACACACATCTCTGCTCACTTGCTCACTTACTCACTTGCCCACTTGCCCCCCAGTTTCCCAAGGATGAGCTGTGTTCTGTGGTTTTCTAACCCCCGGCAGAAAGGCACAGCTCCACTCTCCTGTCAGCAAAGTAATGTTAGTTCTTCTCTCTACCCCTAAGCTGCTTGGAATCTCGAAGAGGTAAATTAGTGCCTCCCCATACCCCATTATGAATAGCAAGGCTGCCGCAGTGAAAGGGGACTAATTCACCTCACTGCTCAGAAAAGCACAAAATAAAATAGAATCCCAGGTAACTGAAGGGCTTTCTATTAAACCTAAATTGTTACATCTTCCAGTTTGCCAAGCTGATTTCAAATAAGATCAGAGCGAGGCCATTTCTGTGTGGAAAAACCAGTTTCAATTAGAAAAAAAAATGCATTTGACTGAAATGATTATTTAGACAGAAAACTGGTTTGACACTGTTTCTAGAGCTGACAAATAAGATCAGAGCGAGGCCATTTCTGTGTGGAAAAACCAGTTTCAATTAGAAAAAAAAAATGCATTTGACTGAAATGATTATTTAGACAGAAAACTGGTTTGACACTGTTTCTAGAGCTGATTTTTTTAAAACTGATGATTGATTTCTTACTTTTTTTTTTACTCTCAATTAAGCTTCCTAATGATCCAAACTGTCATGAGGTTTACACTTTCTAGAAAAAGCTCAAGACAGATATGTCGCCTCACTCTCATTTAGCACTTTCTATTTTCAGGTGGTTTTCATGTCAATTTTCTTCCCCTTGACACTGGTATCATTAGCCTTCCATTAAAAAGGGTGATAATAAGGCATGCCATTTATTGAGCACATACTATGTGTTAGGCAAGATGCTAAATGCATTAGGAGTTTTATTTATTCCTTATAACCTTCATGAGTAGGCATTCTATTAATATCCCTATTTTATAAATGAATAGTGTTTAAGGAAGATTAAATAACTTCACCATGGCTGCACATGTGAAAAGAGGTGGAGCTAGAATTCGCAGTTAGTTCTCAAACCCAGAAGGAGTCACTGATTCACTCAAGTTCACTTAGTTGTGGAGTCAAGTTCAAGACCCTGTTCCTGGCAAATGATTAAGAACAAGGGCTATAGAAACAGGTAGCCTGATTTTAGATGCCATCCCTACCATTCTCCAGCTGGGTCACCACACGCAAGATACTAAACCACTCTGTGCCTCAGTCACCCTTTCTTATAAATGGAAATAATGACTGTCTATCTTAGAGGCCTACCTAAATTAAATGAGATGATCCACACACACAGTTAGCACATAGAATGTGCTCAGTAATTAGTTATTAACATTATACCTTTTGTCCCTCCAGCTTCTAAGCTAAGCACATATTTTATTGGTCTGTGCCACTGCAGGTACCTCGAGCAAAGGCCTTATGCAACTACAGAGGGCAAAATCCTGGTGACCTGAGATTTAATAAGGGAGATGTCATTCTCCTCCGGAGACAGCTCGATGAGAATTGGTACCAGGGGGAGATTAATGGAGCCAGTGGGATCTTCCCAGCCAGCTCCGTGGAAGTCATCAAGAAGCTGCCCCAGCCACCTCCACTCTGCAGGGCCCTCTACAACTTTGACCTACGAGACAAGGACAAGAGTGAGAACCAGGATTGCCTGACCTTCCTCAAGGTGAGATTTTGGGTGGTCACCAAAGTCACTGGGGACCACGCAGAGACTGTGACAGAACCCAGAGTTGTATGATAGTTGCTGATTATTTTTAATTATATGTATTTTATACATAAATGTTTATATGTATAAGTATATTATGTGTGTGTGCATAATTCAAACTACATGGAAGTAAAATACCTAGAGAAATCTACTAATAAGAGCTTGATAGAAATCCTTAAGCCTTTTATATTGCAATTACAAAAATTAGTATTCACACATTCATTCATTCATTCTACAGTTACTTTTGAGCACTTCCTGTTTGCAGGCACTGGGGGTCGAACATGAACATATCACAGTCCCTGCCCTCCTGGCAGAGTAATGGGAAAAACAGTAAATAGAAAATTACAGTTTCGTAACATGCTATGCAAAACTACATCTGCTCCCTCCTTTCTTTCTTTCCTTTTTTTTTTTTGATGTGCGTGTGCGTATGTGTGTGCGTGTGTGTGTGCGTGTGTGTGCGTGTGTGTGCATATGTGCGTGCGCGCACGTGTGTGTGTGCATGCGTGCGTGTGTGTGCGCGTGTGTGCGTGTGTGTGTGCGTGCGTATGTGTGTGTGCGTGTGTGTGTGCGTGTGTGTGCGTGTGTGCGTGTGCGCGCGCGTGTGTGTGCATGCGTGCGTGTGTGTGCGTGTGTGTGTGCGTGCGTATGTGTGTGTGCGTGTGTGTGTGCGTGTGTGTGCGTGTGCGCGCACGTGTGTGTGCATGCGTGCATGTGTGTGTGTGTGTGTGTGTGTGTGTGTGTGTGCGTGTGTGTGTGCGTGTGTGCGTGTGCGCGCACGTGTGTGTGCATGCGTGCATGTGTGTGTGTGTG